TGTTTGCCAAAACTGGCCCATTTAAGAATAGTGGTATTTCACCCCCAAAAATCCCCCAGCAACCAGGCCTGCCTGGGGAATTCTGGGAGTTGAAGTCCACTCATCTTAAAGTGGCCAAGTTTGGACAACACTGATTTTACTTTATGAGGAAAGCTAGTTCACACGCAATCCGGAAAGGAAGCTGTGAGAATTCCAGTTGCAGTTTCTGGAAAAGTATCCTGGTGTAACTTGTGTCTGTGTTTCCTGGGGCTTTTTAACGGTGGTACAGACTAGCTTAGAAAGATGATAAACATTTCATGAGTGAGGGTTTTTAAACAGAGCCAGAATCCCATTTTAGCAGAGATAACTGTAGCAAGAGATCTGCATCGATAGGGGTTGGGCAACGTGAACATTGAGAATCCTGCCAGCTCTATGAAGTTATGAAGTATTGCTACATAGGCCTTTTCTTCCAAAATACAAACTTCTGAGTTTATAAAGGCTTAAAAGTTTATCGTCTTCACATGACACACTGGCCAAAAACTAAAACAAGTGTTTCTAGCCTAAAATGTTACAGGAACTCAACCCAGAAAGTTAATTCAGGAAACCATGGTTCAGTGTAAATACTAAAGTAAGCTTTTTGCGGGGGGGGGGAGCTGGCTCCTGGCAACTGCCTGGACTGGTCCCTGTAGTTTTCTTGGCAAGGTTTTTGGAAGTGGTTTGCCCTTGCCTTCTTCCAAAGGCTGAGAGAAAGTGACTGGCCCAAGATCACCTAGCTGGTTTCATGCCTGAGTGAGACTGGGACTCACCATCTCCCAGTTTCTAGCCTAGAGCCTTCACAACTACACCAAACTGGCTCTCGTGTGGTTTTTGGGGACCAACTTTTTAAAAAAGGTAATTCCCCCCAGATCATCTCCCCAGGTACAGTAAATTTTCCTGTCTTATTTTATATAAGGTTGCTTCCTCCTCCTTTTCAGCCTGGCACAGTGAGTCACTAAGAATTAGGGAAGGCAGCCCACAGATTTGAGCTGCAATTCCAAAGTGTGAAAATGTAACATTTGCACAGCAACGTCAGCCTTGTGCGCAGAACACATAAATCAAAGTGGGTAGTAAAGCCCCTGGAATTGCAACTTGCAGCCAATAATCAGACTAAGAGTAGGGATAAAAATGTTCCAATGTGGGTGTTAACAGTGCCTTTAGGTAGATGGGTGGCTTTATAAGTTTGTTTAATAAATAAAATAATAAATAAGGGCAATATTACCCCCCCCCGAAAAAAACTACCTGTGCATTCTAGTTGTATTTACTGCAGGACTTTTAAATACAATTAAAATTTAGAGGTATAACAGGCTGGAACAAACCAAATATTAAATTAGTAAATCTAAGCTGTTTTTAGAGAATAGTCCCTCCAAATTGTGTCTGGTCTTATTTATTTATTTCTAAATTTTTACTGCCATATTTCCCAAGGACCTCTGGCTGAGTCTAGTTAAATCAAAATGTTACAACTCAGTAAATCAGGGTCATAAAAAAGATCTCAAGAGTAGAATTAAAACTGATATGACTTGGCGGCCAGCGACTAGATGCTGAGCCCTAGTTGCTCTTCTGAAAGGCTCCATTTTCAGATCCTCCCTGAAGCTCAGGAACAAAAGTGCCGTCCGGATCTCCAGCTGGAGGTTATTCCAAAAGATAGGTTTTGTTCCTGAAAAGCACTCCTTTCTCGCCCCCAAATCTTCTGGGAGGGAAGGAGCCTATAGCATGTCCACCCAGGGGTAGGATCCCTTTCAAGTCAATGGACCTTCAGGTACCTGAGTGCCAAGCCTTGTAGGGTTTCAGAGATCAATATCAGCGTGACTGTTTGCAGTAAGGACTATGGAATCTTTGGTGCTCTCTGAGCTTGGTTGTTTGCTTGCAGACATTTCATAACCCAACTAGGTAACATCATCAGTGCTAGTGGGCACCAGCACTGGCAGGGCAAGCTATTGTATATAAACAGGGAGCAAACCCCACACTCTCACTGATGATGTTACCTAGTCAGGTAATGAAACGTCTGCAAGCAAACAACCAAGCTCAGAGAGCACCAAGGACTCTACCGTTCAACTCTGAGCTACAGATATTCTCTTCTATAGGTAAGGACTGGCAATTTCACGTGACAGAATGGCAAGCAGTCCTTACCTATAGAAGAGAATATCTGTAGCTCAGAGTTGAACGGTAGAGTCCTTGGTGCTCTCTGAGCTTGGTTGTTTGCTTGCAGACATTTCATGACCCAACTAGGTAACATCATCAGTGCTAGTGGGCACCAGCACTGGCAGGGGAAGCTATTGTATATAAAAAGGGAGGAAACCCCACACTCTCACTGATGATGTTACCTAGTCAGGTAATGAAACGTCTGCAAGCAAACAACCAAGCTCAGAGAGCACCAAGGACTCTACCGTTCAACTCTGAGCTACAGATATTCTCTTCTATAGGTAAGGACTGCTTGCCATTCTGTCACGTGAAATTGCCAGTCTCCCCTCTCAGCCATGGAAGTTCCGTGAGAGACTTTGGGCAAGTCACTCTCAGCCCGATTTACCTTGCTGGGTTGTTGTGGGAAAAAAAGGAGGAAGAAGGAGCACTCTATGATGTCTCAAGCTCCTGCACAAAAGACATGGTCATGGGTATCTGCAAATATGGTGCAAAAAAAAAAAAATCAAGATGGGGATGATGCACATTAAAAAGGATGGAATTTTGATCACACCCTTGCGGCTGCCATTTTGACTTTTTTTACCATACCCCCTGGACACCCCTGGGTGGGGTAGTAATCTAATAAACCAGTAAACATACAAGCTATTCTTTTATCTGACAACGTAAGCCAGAAGAAGAGAGAACACATTTTTTTCTCATAGACGGAAAGAGAGCTGAGGAATTGCAAAAAAGGAAGAGAGAGGTACGGTAGAAGGAAGGGATCATTTTAGGCAGCGCTCGCTGCTGCTGAAGACTTGTTCAGGGCATGACTCCTGAAGCAGAACTGGGTGAAGTCCAAAGACGACAGAAGGAAGAAGATGGGCAATGAGGAATGTTGCTTCTTGATGTAGATGGCCCCCAGGGGAGGCTAAAGATAGAAAACACATCCTGCCAGCCTCAGAGATGTTGCCAGCCAACATAATACCATTACTTAACTCCAAGCGAGGAGGGCTGTAGAAATAGCTTCACACATAGTGGGATAGACTTTACTAGAGGAAGAGAGCTATGGAACAATAGTGAACCTGCTGATTCTTGGCCAGACACACCTAAATCAGGTCTCTGCTCTACCGTTGTATGCTGCTTACCAGAAGGGCAACAGGAAGGTGAGAGAGTCCAGCAGAGACCAGTATAAAGGGCTTAGAAAATTGCTGTTTGATTTAAAAGCATCTGAAATGCTTTTCTTCTTCTTTAATTAACGTATAATTAAAGGGAAAATTCACAAGAAGGATTTTGGGTGTGCTGCGTGTTGAATCATTTCCCATGAACCCACAAAGCCCTCGTGACAACCAGCCCTTGGAATTGCACTTGGAAGCCTTTTGGCATCTGACGCAGTGCCCACAACACTGGTGTTGTATGTGAGTAGCCACTCTCACCCAAAAACGTGGGCTGCTGCATTTTGTTTCAGTTGCAGCTTCTGAATATTGTGCTGTGGAGTGCAGTGGAGTAATCTTGCCTGTTGTCTTTCTAAAGATGGACGAGGGAACAGCAATTGGTGCGTGTCCTGTTTCCCCAGAGAAGTTGCACTTGGCAGGCCAATAGGAGTTGCTACGATTTTCTAACAGCGCAGCTACAACCTGTTAGCCAGCAAAGCAGAATCAGGGTCTGTCACAGCCAACAGGCAAAGTTGCAGGAGGAGGTTCAAGAGAATAGCAAGACCAGAGTACTGTAACAAGATCAGAGCACAGACCATACTGTTCAAGCTGTCAGTCCTAGGGAGACACAGTAGAGCATAAAAGGTGAAGAAGCTGTTATCAGGTCATCCCTAGCTGGCCAGCTTTATATCCTAGATTTCAAGCTCCTACTCTAAATTGGTTGAATTTTAGGTTCAGTGCATGTGATAATTTCCAAGTGAATTGGTGCTACCAAGAGCCTTTCACCCTCAGGCTTTCAACATGCTCCAATAGAAGAGAGTAGCTAAAGTTCAGGATTGAACTGTGGAATTCTTGGTGCTCTCTGAGATTGGTTGTTTCCTTGCAGATGTTTATCAAGGAAGAAGAAGAATCAAAGAACCACCAAGGAGGAAACCACGCACATCCCAAAACTGGCAGGGCAAGCTATTGTACAGAAACAGGCAGCAAACCCCACACTCACTTGCACTGATGATGTTACCTAGTTGGGTCATGAACGTCTCCAAGCAAATTAACCAAGCTCAGAGAGCACCAAGAATTCCACATTTCAACATGGTATTGTCATTGCTCTCATGGACTTGGGGGATGTTTGGGAGAGTCTTGCTTGGAATCCGGAATTGCAGGAATCATGGTCCTAGGAATTAGGACCGGTTTTTCTATGGCTTTCCTGATGGTCCTTGGCCCGTCAATCTTCAAGTCTTGCCCAGCCTTCTCCCCATCATCTCCAGAGGTGGCCTCTGCGGGGGCCATGGCCATATGTCTTACATGGTTTGCTTTCACTTGTTACATTTCAGAAGAAAGGATTGAGTTCTAGGATTTGTACTGTGACTCATTTAACTGCCTCCCTGCAAGGAATTTGGGTCAGCATCCCAGGTTCTTCAGTAAGGCTGGGTAGATCCTTCAAAAGAGGAACTACAGAAGGAAGCAGATTCTTCATGCACATGTGTGTGGATCAATCCAGGAGAAGGTACCAAAGCAGTCACAGGAACTTGAAAAGAAAACATGGCTGCTCTAATTATCCAAAAAGAAGTGCCTTTATACATTTGCATGCCTTATGAAATGCCTCTTTCAAATCATTTGCATTGTCCACACAACAACTATGTGATGTTGGTTTCATTGAAAGACAGAATTGACTCTGAATCCACCAGTCAGCTTCAGAATCAAATGGGGATTTGAACCTGCTTTTGTCTACTCCCTAACTACTCTTTCTCATTATATCTCTTACACTGGATTCATGATTAAGTGGTCCCCAAGTTTACTTGAGAGCCATTTTGGTCTAGTGGTTAAGGCACCAGGCTAGAAACCAGGAGACTATGAGCTCTAGTCCCACCTTAGGCACAAAGCCAGCTGGGTGATCTTGGGCCAGTCACTCTCTCAGCCCTGGGAAGGAGGCAAGGGCAAACCGCTTCCGAAAAATCTTGCCAAGAAAAATGCAGGGATTAGTCTAGGCAGTTGCCAGGAGTTCTCCTCCCCCACCAAAAGCTTACTTTACTGTTTGCGCTGAACCATGGTTTCCTGAATTAACTTTCTCGGTTGGGTTCCTGTAATATTTTAGGCTAGAATACACTTGATTTAGTTTGTTGCCAGTCTACTGTGTGAAGACAATAAACCTTTAAGTCAGTGTTTCTCAACCTTGGTAGCTTTAAGATGTGTGGACTTCAGCTCCCAGAATTCCCCAGCCCGCCCATCTGGCTCGCGTAGTCTGGGAGGTTATGT